GGACGATGTAATCCTTACGGTCACTGATCCGATGCAGTCTCTTACTGAAATCTCGAATTCCTTGGAGTCCTTTAGTGTGGTATCTTATTATAAACTCTATAGGCTTTCTCAAGGATAAATTTCCTTACCAGTGGACTAACAAAAAGTTGGACTACCTTGGCATTTGTATATCATCCCCGATTTCTCACACATTTAAGAATAACTTTGAAAAACTGTATCAATCTTCTCTGCTAGACATGCAAAGGCTTGACAAGTTCGAAACATCGTGGATAGGTAGAATAGCAGCATTTAAGATGTTAATCTTTCCTAAAATTCTGTATTATTTTAGAACGATCCCAATTCTCATCCCTCAAAACTATTTCTATAAGCTAGAGCTAGCTATCAAAAGATTTACATGGAAAGGAAAAAAAATGCGGATTCCATTCCTGGCCCTTACGAAACATATATCGAAATTAGGAATGGGGCTACCCGCATTACCCATATACTATTATGCAACACTTTTAGAGCAACGTCCGGCTTGGTTTGCGCCCACGGACAAATTGTGGGTGCAGATTGAACGGAATACGATTCCTAATAAAGACCTACAGGCCCTTGTCCTGGCTAGAGCGGTCTCATCTAAACTGATTACCTCTCTTTTATTATCTATTCCCGCCACGTTGGAAGCTTGGAATATGGGTTTAAGCTTAATGCCCGATTCCTTTCCTAAACTTCAAATTACTATTCCAATCTCGGAATATGAACATCTTATACCAAATCTAAATACTAAATTATTAAGAGACCTAGGATACAATACATTTGAGGAAATAAAACAACCAGTTCCGGGTACCGGGATGCACCCATACCTGCATATAAGGGGATTCCATGGTACTGGCCTAAATCCATGGTTGGAAATAGATCCTAAGTTATGGCATTTTATTAAAAATCCTGTCAAAATGAAAAACGTAATCTCCAAACTTTATAAACTTTTACATTATGATTGTGATGATTCTTCAATACCTAGTGTAGAACGATGGGAAAGGGATCTACAAACATCCTTTACAAGAAACGAATGGGAGGATGCCCTGAAAAGCAGTTTAAGTATATCTAATTGTACTAACCATTGGGATTGCTCCTTGAAGATAATGCACCGTAGTTACTTCACTCCATATAAATTATCTAAAATGTACCCTGACACACCCCCCACTATGTTGGAGGGAATGTGGTGGGGAATATTCTTCACGTTTTGTGGTCATGTCCTTGTTTGAAAACATTCTGGATAGAGGTCTTCACACTTATCTCTATGGTGTCGGGCATAATTTCCCCTCCAACTCCACATTTAGCCCTCCTTAACCTCAAACTAAATTATTTTCCTAGTAAATATAGAACAATTATAGGTCATATTCTCATTGCTGCTAGACTGGCCATCACTTGTAGATGGAAATTGTCGAACTCCTCTTGTATATCAGAGGTTATTCGAAGGGTACAGACACACTATGTGTACGAGAGGGCATTGGCCTTGTGTCATTCTTCCATGGAAAAGTTTGATGCAAAATGGTTCCATTGGAAAGAGTTGTCCCCGACATTCACCATTACTATATAGAACCTTTTGTATGATAGCCATAATGGAAAATAGGATAACTTTGGTCACCTATTGTTCAGAAGGTTACTCTTTTATTCTTTCTCTTCTTTTCTTTTCCCAGTTGGATTCTGTTTTCTTCATCTTTTACTCTTTATCTGTTCCTTGTTATCATTTACTCAGGCTCAGACGGGCCCGCATTGCTGGGTCTCTGGAGAATGGATTCAGCAAATAGCTATGCATATACGATATGCTATGTTTTTGTACTTATTTTGTCTGGTAATATTCATTTTCTATAGTTGCTATCTTTGATTATGCACGCATGTCTTAGTCATGTATATATAATACAGTACAGAGAACAAGCAGTATTTCCTTCCTATTCTGAACCTGTATTGTGGCTGATATGTTTGTATATAAAACCTAATAAAAAAGATTTGAAAAGAAGTGGGTAGATGCAGGGCGGTATATTCTAATAGTAGGAATACCACACACTTTTTCGGGAAGCAATTTCTTCTCTTTTTTTCATTCCGCCCACAGGCTGCATACAAAAAAAAAAAAAAAAAAAAAAAAAAAAAAAAAAAAAGAGGAACATAGCATATATACCCAACAAGGACCAGCGACATACTGGTACATATCTGGACTTTGATGGTTATACCAGGATGATGCCTACAGCCTTCAGGTGGCGATCATCTTTCATGTAAAAGCAATCCCAGTGGCTAATTAGCTGCAGGATTGCTTTTACAAGCAGCGGGAGATGATGCCCCTCATCCCCCGCTGCCTTACACGGCCTTCTTGGGCAGTCCCATACCATCATGGGAACCTGAGAAAGCAGCCGGTGTTTCTGAAAGCTGACCACAGAGCTGATTGGAGACCAAAATGGTGCCAATCATCTCTATAGTCTAAGAAATCGGAAGCTACGAGCATTTTATCACTTCAGTTTCGCAGGATAATCAGCGCCATTTGTAAATTGGGAAAGCATCTGATCACACCGATCTTGGTTTGATTGGAAAAGGCAAAGGAGATATCTAGAGTCGGATAGACCCCAGATTTCTCAAAAAAGAATATATGATAATGCCCATTGAAGTTATAGGGTATATTTGCATTCCCTGTGATAGCAGTAAAAGTGATCAAAAAAACAAAACAAAAAAAGGAACAGTGTAAAAAAAAAAAAAAAAAAAAAAAAGCACCTTCGCCAGCCCACGCGTGCACCTGTGTGCGCAAGCGTTGACCCTGTGCCAGTATGTAAACAGCGGTTGCACCATGCATGTGAGGTATCAAGAGCAGTAATTCTAACACTAGACCTCCTCTGGAAATCTAAAATGGCATCTTGTAAAGGCTTTTAAAACGTTGCCTATGGATATTAAAAACGTATGCGGTTTGTTGCCATTGCACAGGCCATGCACAGTTTTAAAGTCTGTCATGTTTGGTATCTATTTACTCGGCATACCATCATCTTTTATATCTTACCAAATAATTGGCCAATATATTGTGTTTTTGTGCATTAAAAGTAAAAAAAAAGTTTATTGTTTTTTTTAAACTGCGTTTAAAAAATTGCTGCGCGAGTACTATGCGACATAAAAAATTGCAGCACCCACCATTTTATTCACTAGGGTGTTTGCTTTAAAAAATATATAATGTTTGGGGGGGTTTAAATTCATTTCCTAGCAAAAAACACTGATTTTTTTTTCATGTAAACAAAAAGTATCAGAAAAGGCTTGATCTTCAGGTGGTTAGAAGAGTGAGTGATGTGTGGCATAAACTTCTAATGCCTCCACCCCCCAAAACGACCCCTTTTTGGAAAGTAGACACCCCAAACTATTTGCTGAGAGGCATATTGAATCAATAGAAGAATTTATTTTTTTCCAAGTTTTTTGGAAAATGACAAAAAAAATTTTTAAATATATATATTTTTTTTTTTTTTACACGTTGTCACTTAAATGATTTATTGCTCACGCATGCCATGGATATATGTGGAATTACTCCCCAAAATATATTCTGCTACTTCTCCCAAGTATGAGAGTACCACATGTGAGAGATGTTTTGGCAGTCTAGCCAAGTACAGGACCCCAAAATCCAATAAGCACCTTCAGGCTTTTAAAGAGCTTTATTTCCTCATTACACTTCCTGACTACCTATCACAGTTTCAGAGGCCCTGAAATGCCAGGATAGCACCAACCCCCCCCCCCCCCCCTCCCAAATGACCCCTTTTTGAAAAATAGACACCCCAAGGAATTTGATAAGAAGCATGGTGAGCATTTTGCAAATCTAGTTTGTTGCCACAAGTTTCTGAAAAATGTAGAAAAAAAAAAACAAAAACATATTTTTCTTTTTTTTTAATATATATTTCAAAACTTTGTGAGAAAAAATGAGATCTGCAAAATACTCACCATGCCTTTTTTTAAAAATCACTTGGGGTGTCTACTGTCCAAAAAGGGGTCATTTGAGGAGGTTTGGTGCTATCCTGGCATTTTAGGACCTCTGAAATTGTGATAGGTAGTGAGGAAGTGAAATGAGGAAACTACGCACCTTCAGGCTTTCAAAATGGTCATTGGATTTCAGGCTCCCCTATGTGGCTACGCTCCCAAAAAATCTCACACATGTGGTATCCCCATACTCGGTAGAAGTAGCAGAATGTATTTTGGGGTGTAATTTCACATATACCCATGGCTTGTGCGAGAAATATATAATTTAAATGACAACTTTGTGTATAAAAAAAAAAAAAAAGTTGTCGTCATTTTCCAGAAACTTGTGGAAAAAAATAAATCTTCCATGGACTCAATATGCCTCTCAGCAGATAGCTTAGGGTGTCTACTTTTCAAAAAGGGGTCATTTGGGGGTGTTTGTACTATCCTGGTATTTTTAACCAAAAACATGTAGCAGAATACATTTTGGCCTAAATTTATGACGGCATTTTAGTTTTTCTGGATATTTTTTATCACAGAAATGAGAAAATATTGTTTTTATTTTATTTTTTTTTTTTCAAAACTTTTGTTTATAGCGCCAAAAATAAAAAGCGCACAGGTGATCAAATACCACCAAAAGAAAGCTCTATTTGTGTGAAAAAGGACATAAATTTCATTTATGTACCGTATTGCATGACCGTGCAATTGTCAAACTAGTGCAGCACTGTATAGCAAAAATGGCGTAAATTGCAGTATCTATACCATAGTTTGTAGACGCTATAACTTTCACACAACGCAATCAATGTACACTTATTTGGATTTTTTTTTACTAAAAACGTAGCAGAATACATTTTGGCCTAAATTTATAACTAACTTTGAGTTTATAGTCAAAAGTAAAAAATATTGTTTTTCTTCAAAATGTTCAGTCTTTTTTTGTTTATAGCGCGAAAAATAAAAAGTGCACAGGTGATCAACAGGTGTATAACGTGGCTTTAGGCAGTTTGGGATTACTTTATGATTAACAATAATAGAAAAAAACTCACCCACAGTACTGATCAGGCTCCAGAGCACGGGTCCCTTCCCTGCCAGAGACAAGAACACCTTAATGATTGACTTCCAGCAAGAGAACTGCATTTTTGGGCTATATTGTGGAAATGTGTCAATCTGGACAACCAGGAGACGCTCAAGAACAGGTGTGTATACTTCAGGTATCTGAAGAAGAAAATAACTATGTTAGCAAGAATGATACATTTTCACTGCAGAAAAATACACAATACCTAAAAAGGCAACAGCAGATGGAAACCACAAAACATTTGTTTTATATCCGCTTTGGGTTTTACTATATATCTATCCTGCAAAACAGGATTTTTTGTTACCGTAAAATCCCTTTCTCTGAGTTCATTGACGGACACAGCTTTTTCTTATTCGCCCCCATAGAGTAGGAGTAGGACACTAGGCAGAAAAAACAAACTTGGCAACGCTTAGCAAGTCCTAACTAGTATAAAACCCCCTCTCTGCTATACCAAGCTCTAATAGACCTAGTCCAGGGGTATCCAGCCAAGGCACCCATAATGTCTCGAATTTACCAGGGCATCCCCTATGCTGGGAAATATATTTTTCTAAGTGAAGGGTTTCACCTACTGAACGAATTAACCGTTTCAAGGAGGAAGGTTTCAAAGATTTCCAGTGAACCAAAATTAATTTATGTGCTAGAAAGAGGACTCTAGAAATTGCCTCAAGGTGAATTCTCTCTGGGTTATATATCTGCCAGAATGCTCAACTGGCAGAATTTAAGGCCTAAAGGTATAGTAGCTTTTAATACAGAATGTATGCCAACCTCTCCCTTTCAATATTGATGAAGCTTGGGGTAGCGCCAAAGTAAATGGTCTCCATGGTCCCTCTTACATTTGGCACAGAAAGGATCAGGCTGGATACCCATTTTGTACAGGTGTAGTGGAGCATAATGAACTTGAAGGAGGATGCACAATTTTAACAATTTTGGGGACATGTTAAGAACAAGTGTTAACTGACACAAAAGCTTCTAGCCACTGATCCTTTGGCATAGGCCCCAAATCCTTCTCCCACTGTGTTGGAGTTCCCATGGGGTATTTGTTCAGATACTCAGACAGGAGCATGAAGTAACATTGTGAAACAGAGCCCTAAGATGACTCAGCTGCAGAAAGCAGGTCAAAGATTGGTGTTGGAGACAAACACAACTTGGCTGAATCCCCTTGTGCCCTAATGGCATGTCACAGTCGCACATTACACACATGTACGAAGGCAAAGAGAAGATTGCTTGCAACTCCGAAAAAGACAGCAAAACCCCATCTGTAAAAAGCTTGATGGGTATAGGTAACCCCCCAAACACCTCCCATCGACTACCCTGTAACAGTTTCCCCAATTCCACATAGGAGGCGTTGTGCCATAACAGGCTATATTTGGTGAACCACCTGACTCTCTAAAAGTGTCTGGATTTGTTCCAAATATTTTGGATAGGATTATTGGTTGGGAAATGTTTGCTGGTTTTGCCAAATGCTTCAGATTCAAGGCCCTTTGGAATAGACTCCCTATGTCTAAACGAAAGAAGTATCGAGGCCGAGGAGTCTAGATTAGGGGAATTAGGGTCTGCCAGGGGAGCATACAGCCTACCAAATGTTGCAGTTATACTGCTATAGAATAAAGCCAGGGTTTGAGGGGGGCAGGCCAATGTCTTTGGGTTGGTCCAACTGTTCCAACCAAACCTTAGGAGGATCTTTAGGTCCATAGTAAGTAGCAGAAAATTGAGTTTACCAGTCAGAAGTGGGATCACGGCTGCTGTATTAGGCAAAAAGTATAAAAACTGTGGCATTTTAATCAAATTAATTTTACCCACTAACAAAAGCTTTAACGTGCTCCAGATTTTCATTTTAAGCCTGAAGCAAGTGAGAAGTGTGACAAGATTAAGCTTACAAAGTCAAGGAGGACTGGGGAGATATGAACCCCAAGGTATATGAACTGAGAAGTAATCCGTATAGGGCAGGAAGGGGCCACTGGCTGACTCGAAACCCCATCCAACAATGTCAGAGACGATTCTGTCCAGTTTGGGTCCTTTCCAGGCCTGACCATTTAATGGAGTATGGTGTTCATGGCCACTTCCATGGATGATGTTGTATCGCCAAGCAACATCATATCATCGGCATGTAACATGATTTTTTTCCTGAAGGGGCTACAGGGGGGTTTGGGGCCCACTCCACCTTCGTTCCCACCCATCTGTTTGCCTGTGAGAAGCTGAGGGTTAAGGAGGCCTGTGAACCCCAGAGGGAAGTGGCCACCGAGATGAGGGGAGTGTCAGCCTAAGCCAGAATACCTATATGGCAGTAAGCGCCCCCCCATCCCCTTAGAAAATGGCCAAATACTTGATGTTCCTGGACAAAGAAGTGGCAATGCTGCTGTGCAGGCCTGTAGTCAGATGCTGAGCAGGCAGAGTGACCAAGTATCCCCATATTGTCTAGCTCAGAACTGCAAGACCTGTGTACTACAACAAGAAACCAATGTAAATGGCACATTTTTTTGAACCACTAATGATGCATGTCACCCCAGTACAAAACTGCCCAAAAAGAATTACCAGATACACAGGAAACACAGCCAGGGGGAATTGCCACATTACTCTGCTCCAACACAATGGCACTTACTAGTTGTTAGATGTACTGTGAACAAGCCTAATTGTTACCCATCACAGGGGGATGAGCCATGTGGGGGCTTTCAGGAACCTGACTCTCCTCCAGGGGAATAAGTGTTCTGAACCAGTAGAGTACCCTATCAGTGAGGCCACCACTGTACCCAGAAAACTGCTTCCCTCAGGTTCCAGCATCGACGGGCTGACATTATAAGCTGCTGGCACTCCTATATGCAGGGTACAGAGTCCCTCTTGGCCTGCTGACCATAGCGACCAATCCAGATATTGCCCACCAGGTTCTGCCCCAGGGGTGTAAGGTAAAAAGACCATGAGAGAGATCTTTAGATACACAGCGCGGCACATCCATCACCTAAGGACACTAGCACTAAACTGAGGCTTAGCTGAACTGGGAAAGGTTATACCTGCGCGGGTATTTCTGTCTTTTTCTGGACAGTGTCTATTCACTTGAAGGTGGCAGGACAACTCAGTTCATCATGAATGTTTAGTTTTGTGTCTTCAGATGTACAATTGGGAAACGTTTTATTTATTCACATCTCAGGTGCTGGATAGGGTTGCTCCCATCAAAGAAATCACTTTTAGTGATAGGACAGGCCATCCTCGAATACTTTCTAAGCAAGTGCAAATGGTGCTAGAGGGGCTGGTACGTCTAAATACTACTGTTACTGCTGCAGTAAAATTTATTGCTGCACTACAAATTAGGCTGACTGCCAAAGTCTCTTAAGTAGTCAAAAATAGGGCATGTCTACAGGAAATGAGCTACAACTACAATTATTGTGGAAGCAGAAGACATAGGCTTTGAAAGGCAGAAATGTCAAAAGAAAGAAAAAATCCAAGGGCTCAAAGATAAAGAAGAGTCAGAAAAAAGGGTAAAGGGAAGAAAATCAAAAGGGAAGGGCAACTTTAGGAGGAGGTTCTTTTAAAAAAAAATGTATATGTCAAGTGCGATGCTGAACATGGAGCCATGCAGAAAAGTACAGGTCATTTTTATGACCAAAAAAAGCAACAGCTAGAGCTTGCTTTAAAAAAACAAACAAAAAACTATCCTTTCACCATTCTATTATGCTCAAAGGCCACCTCAAGATCTCAGCACCCACTGTTTTGCTGGCTGAACTCTGGGTCTCATCAACTTCCTATGGTGACATTCGTAATCATGTGCAAGGCCACACTTCTTCTCTCAGTGTGCAGTTACTTTGTGAAAAGGTAGTTATGTATAAAATGATGTGAATTAGTTTGTGAATTATGTACATATACCATGAACCTTGGATTATGTTGAATAATGTACATCAATAAGAATTTGGACTCTAAAAACGTAAAATAACATTATGGGAATGGCTGTGATTTGTACATGAATACCTCCAATTCTTCTATTACTTCAATCACCGTAAAAAGCCCTGGTAGAGGACAAAGCACATCAGAGTAGAGGGACATGGTAGGGTCGTCTTTGTCACTTGTTCAGTAAGGTTTACTGAATTCTGACAGACGCGGACATATGTGTTTAGATGTAGAGCAGGGGTAGGCAACCTTTGAGAGGTGGAGATCTACCTCAACAATTTGTCAGTAGGGTAGAGGATGGTGTCAGAGCACAGGTTGGTGTCAGTATTTTTTTATTTTTATTATTTTATTTTTACAATATATATTTTGTTATTAGAATTTTTTTAATAGCCCCGTTGGGGAACTTTGGTGAAATATCAGTGGTCTAAAAAGACTCCTGATGTCTCACTTTTGAAACAGAGAAGTGAGATTGAGAACAGAGTGCTCAATCTTTGCAGCTTCAGCTGCACAGAATGAGTGAACAGGAAGAGTTCTCCCTGTTTATTCACTAACTAAAGCATAGCAAACAGTTTACTATGCTTCGGTCACGAATGAGCACAGTGAGTGATTGGTACTGATTGTTTACGGTGTTCATTCAGGAAAGGAGAGGCTGGTAAAGAACATATTTACCGTTCCCTTCCCTCGCTGTCAATCATGAAAGGATCCCCCGCAGCAGTCTGTAGGGAAGGGGAAGCTGGCAGTGCTGTGAGCTGAGTGGGGAAGGGGGGGGGGGGGGGGGGGGGGGTGGGGGGGGGGGGAGTCCAGGCAGCAGAAGGAAGAAGGAACCTGGATAAGAGGGGCAGAAGCTGACTGCCGGCAAAGGAGCAGGAGAAGATGGCTTTCAGCTGCTGCAGGAGGAAAATACAGAGGATTAGTTGTTGCCTCCATCCCTCTTGTCCAGATTCCAGGGGTCAGCAAGGAAGGGAAGCAATCTACCCATTGATGGGTTGCCAACCCCTGCTGTAGAGTCTTAGGTCTATATTAACTAGTTGCCGACCGCAGATAGCCGAATGACGGCTTCACTGCGGCCGGCCAGTTCTGGGTGGACGTCATATGACGTCCCCCCAGAACGCGCTCTCCTGCGCGCCCCAGGGGGCGCGCACCCGGCGATCTCCGTGATCGCTGTGTCCTACGGACACAGCTGATCACGAGATGTGGTAAAAGGCCGATCATACCGGCCTTTTACCACGTGATCAGCGGTGTCCAATGAAAGCTGATCACAGGG